GAACTGGGATTTGGCTGATGGATTTAAATACATGATGGTAATTTACCCTTCTAGCCTTAATTATTTTTAATTACAAAATTGTCCTCCTATTTCATTATAATGGGTATGCAATTATAAACGTTTATAATGTCATATTTTATTTAATATGAGAATTTATCATTTTTTGTAATATCATATTTTATTCAAATATAAATGTGTATGTGATTTGTTGGATGCAGGCTAAATTACACGTTTGGTCACTCAAATTACATAAATCTTTCATGTTTGCCATCCGAATTATTTTTCTTTCGTATTCGTCACTAACTTTACGAATTGTTTCACCGTTAGTCGCTAGCCGTTAGTCTCCGTCAAATTCCGTTAACTCCGTCAGTTTTTTGATGATGTGGCAAACGAAGTTGCTGACTAGACTATTAAATTAATGACATGTCAATTTAAAAAAATTTAAAAATAATTAATTTTGGTCCACTCCGCTTCCTCTAACTCCAAGCAAGTCGGGGAACCCAACAAGCTCTGCTGTTGGCTGCTGCGATTGAGCAGGTGGGGTCTTGCTATAACCATCACAACCCTCAATTAAAACAGGGGATCTTGAAAGTCTGGAGCTTCGGGGGATTCCTCCATCGCAATTACTGTATGCAATCACCTGTGTGTTCCCACCACTGATGTAGAGCACAACCGGGTCGTGCGCCCCGGTCACAACCCAACCCATCTCAATTTGGGCGACACAATGGTTAACCGCAACAATTGGTTTCTTTAGAGCAGCGAGAGAACCCGAACTACCACGACGGACACCTGCAACGGCGCGTCCATCTGATCTAAGGGCCCTTGGTATAGCAGAGACAATCAATGTCGTCGAGAGTCACTTGGGCGGCGGCCTCCAAGGCGGATTGGACAAAGGGGAATCACGTGCTGGAGGTGGTGATGAGCGATTTCTCAGGAGAGAAAGTCATGCCCAGGAGGAGTGATGTAGGTTAATTAATTTTTATTTTCTAAATTGACATGTCATTAAGTTGACGGTTCAGTCAGCAGCTTCGTTTGCCATGTCATCACAAAACTGACGGAGTTAACGGAATCTGACAGAGACTAACATCGAGTGACTAATGGTGAAATGATTTGTAAAGTTAGTGGCAAATACGAAAGAAAAGCAATTCGAGTGACAAACATGAAAATTTATATAATTTGACTGACCAAACGTGTAATTTAGCCGTTGGATGCAACTATAAACACCTTATACTCATTTTGTACATTATTATTTGATTGACTGTCGGATTCCAAAATCGGGTGGTTAGCAAGAATATGATGAGTTGTAGCAATAAGGCGAGCAACTAGTTGCAACTTATACATAATATTGTGTACATTATTAGATGAATTTTTAATTATGGCTAAATTGTGATACATTTCCATATTTGTAGTTGAATTATTAGTCTATTGGTGGTAAAGAGTAAAATTTCTTCGTATTTATTGAATTTGTTTTTAATGAAAAAATTGGATTATAGAAATATAATTAGATAAGGGTAACAAGGTAATTTGTATTTCATATCCACAAATCTAATCAAACAACATCCATAATCAAATCCAACAAGCAAACAATAGACTTGCTCAAATTCATAATGCCACCAAATTCATCATATATCTATGGTTTTCCAAAATCCAGATTTTACCAAACCCTTATATTTCAAATCTATGAAGCAAACGACTCGTAAAATTTGGTTTTCAACATAATGCAGGAGAAGAAGGAAGAGACTATTGATAGTGAATATAAACTTTCATTAATGAAGATCAAGTTGTGTGGAGAAGATACTATTGATGGCGGAACAATCAAAAAGAAATTCAAAAGGGAATTTGTAGTAATTTCTAACATCGAAAAGTAAACTGAAGTGCATTTTGAATATTAAGTTTTTAAGAAATCAGTTTCTTACAGTAGTTGTGGTGTTTTCTTTTGATAATAGCTTTTGTTCATGAATAATCAAGATATTGTAAACCTTATATTGTATGTTGTCTTTTTTAATATTTGTAGTAATTTAATAATTAGAATTCTTTCATGGTATCAAATAAATTATGGAGGTAATTATTATTAGGGTATGCCTACTATGACATGCATGTCACCGTGACATGGACTTTTCGGTCGACCTATTCCTGAAGGCGGTCGACCGAATTGACTAATTTGGGCAGCACGAGAAAGCATTGTGGTCGACCTCAACGACCACCTGGTCGACCGCACTTAGTTTAAGTTGTTATTTTTGGTCGACCAGAATAAAACCCCGGTTGGCCATTTCGTTGGCGTCAGAAACAACATGGTCGACCACCTAAGGTATATAGGTCGACCACTTGATGGCAGTCATTAACAAAATGGTCGACCGGATAAGGAAAGAGGTCGACCAGATAGAAGATAAGTGTTCTATCAAAGTGTCCAATCATTTGACGTAAAATGAAGATCAAGTGTTGGTTTTGAGGTCAACCTAATCCGGTACGAGGTCGATCGAATACAAGAAAATCAACCTATCCCCCGTGTCTTTTTTGCTTATGTATGTCGATTTGTGTGGTTCTTTTGCTCGTATAAATTATGTTTCAAACCATCATAAATAGTCATAAATAATGATAACAAGGAATCATCAATTCATATCATAACAACTAAACAAACTAACAAGAAATACAATAAAACAGAAATCATAATTGTTCACACATAAAAAAAAACTATAAAAAAAAAATCAACAATCGTTTTGACCATTTAACAATAAAAACGCACAATCTAAAATCTTCGAGCTCCTAATCATCTCCCCTCTCTCCCTCATCCACATTTTCTTCATTGGTGGTGCTAGCATGATGGTGGTCGGATGTGGTGGGATGTATGTATCTTCCGCTGAAAGATCGCCACTCATCTCGCATCTCATTCACGGTCACCTGCATTGTGCTCATCTAGGCGGTCATTTGCCCCATGTAGTCGTACATGCCAGTCATCTGGGTGGACAGCTAGCCCATGTACTCGTACATGCCATCCATGCGTTCCCACACACGCTCTAAGATGATCGGTGGAGTTGAACTCTGTGCCTGCAGCATTGGCTCGTCTCAAGCTCCTTCATCGACATCACCATCCTCATCATCATCATCACCACCATGGGCACCATGAGCATTGTTTATTCTGACATACTCACCATTACGCAACTCAAAGCCCATCTTTTTCAGAGATGAAACAGTATAGAACTCCTGCCTTGAGATTCTTAACCCCACCTCTTCACTTAAATTCACATTAAAATGCTCAAATAGCACAGTGAGGATCATCCCATAGGGAAGATTCCTGTTTGAACTCTCTGCAGCAGTAAGCATATGGTTAAAGATCAAGTATGGCAAGTTCACCTTCTCGTTTAACAGTAGGTTGGTGAGGAGCTCCATGTCGAAGTAGGTGACTTTCTTCCGATGTCCACCCTTTGGCAGAATGTTGTAGGAAAGCATGTGGTGAAGAACTCTGACTTGAACTGTTAAGTGGTTACTCGTTGGCCTACTACGACCCTCAGCATCTTCCTCTTCATCAAGACCACATACCGTCTGGATTTGCTTGGTTCTCGTGGAATGAGTTTCATTACAAGCAGTGTAAGAATGGATTCTCTTCCCCTCGTTTGGAGCCTCTAGTACTTGCGCCAACACATTCTTGCTGATGCGCATAACCACCCCATTCACATAGGTTTTGAATGCGTGAATGGATCCATTTGCATTGCGCTCGTAGACGATGTTGTTGTAGAAGTACTGTACCATTTTTGGGTAGTATGGTACATTCAGAGATATCACCTTCAGCCACTCTTGCTAGATCATGGGTCCCAGAAACCCGTAATTCTCGAAATGAGAATACGCATCCGTCGTCAATGGCCTTCTAGGAGCCACCCTTCGGTTGTGCATTCTCTTCTCTTCATAGTTGTCATTTTGCTCCTTGGTCTGGAACAAATTGGGATTGAACTCTTCCCATTCCGAACTTGAGGCAGCTGCTTTTTGTGACTTTCTTTTCTTTTTGTTGCCAAACATCCTGCAATCAAACAAGCGAGAATACACGTTAGTCACATTTTCGAAATGAAAAAAATGCGGTCGACCACTCCATAAAGCGGTCGACCTAAGTTAATTTAAAACGAGAATGGGTCGAGTCAAACCCGTAACAATTGGAGTACAAAAAACAATAGGTCGACCTCAAATGAATCATAGGTCGTCCTCGGAAAATTTAAAACGAGTCTCTGAATGGACCCTCACATACATGAATTAGGCAATTCGGTCGACCGCCTTCAGGAATAGGTCGACCGAAAAGTCCATGTCACGGTAGCAAAATCCTTATTATTATGGTATATTCTATTCATGTAATTTATTCGGCAAACGGATGGACTTAAATATAGTAAAGACAATTCGGTGGCGTCTTAACGGAAGGGCTGTTCTGTTAGTGAAAACTAGTACGAGGGCTCGCCGCTTTGGAAAAGTACAGTAAAAGGGCTCATATGTAAACTTTCGATTTTAATAGGACAAGCCCTTATTCAATTAGTCATCCTTTTGGATCTCGGACGATATTTCGATATTCAATATTTATACCCAAATTAACATCGTCTTCCGTCTTCCAACCAGGCTAGGGATTTCAGTTTCACCTCCTCAAATCCATAGCAGCTCGCCGCCGGAAAGTTCACCGCTGAAATCCAGCTCGTCGCTTGATCGATTCTCTCGATCTCGCTTCTGCCGTTCGTCTCTTAAGCTACCGATAAATCCATAAGAGAACCGGTGGAGCCAGCCCTGAAGGTTATCGCTGTTCCTCTATTTACTTTTTAAACCCTAATCTTCGTACGTACTGTACTTCTTGAGCTTTCTTCTTAGTATTTCCTCCTTGTTTGTTTACTTTGGCTTTTGAAGTCCTTCCCTTGTTAATCGCGAGGTTGAATTCTGAATCAAATAATCAGATATGCTGTGTCTTTCTTTCCTGACTGGGTTACTTTTTTGGTTCTTTGTTTTGAGTTTTTTTGCAGGTTAGAGCGCCCATCATGATGAAGCCTCCATTGAATGAGATTCTACCTGCAGCGAAGTCGACAGTTTCAACCGTTTACGACCACTCCAATGATCCATGGTTCAAGGAAAGGTTCAGCGTGGTGGAGTCCGAGAAGTCGGTTGTCCTGAAAGGTAAGGTTGTGCCTCGTTATTTGCAGCGTGAAGGTTTTGTGCCCAGGAAAGTTGATGACTTCGGGGATGGGGGCGCTTTCCCTGAGATTCACATTGCTCAGTATCCTCTTGATATGGGCAGAAATAGATCTGCAAAACCCGGGTCAAAAATTCTACCAGTCACTGTTGATGCTCATGGCAATGTTGCTTATGATGCCATTGTCAGACAAGACGAGAATTCAAAGAAGATTGTTTATTCACAGCACAAGGATATCGTCCCGAAGATTTTGAAGAATGTAGAGGAAGAAGATGATATGGACGAGGATGAGGAGTTGCAGAAAGAAATTGAGCAGACTACTCAAGAAACCAAAGCCGCCCTAGAAAAAATAGTGAATGTGAGGTTGAGTGCAGCACAGCCCAAGAATGTTCCCCAACACAATTCGGAGTCCAAGTACATAAAGTATAAACCGTCCCAACAATCTGCAGCTTTCAATTCGGGTGCAAATGAAAGGATTATCAGAATGGTGGAGATGCCCGTCGACCCACTCGAGCCACCAAAGTTCAAGCACAAGAGGGTCCCAAGGGCTTCTGGATCTCCACCTGTTCCAGTAATGCATTCCCCTCCTAGGCCCGTGACAGTCAAAGATCAGCAGGACTGGAAAATTCCTCCTTGCATCTCGAATTGGAAGAATCCCAAGGGTTATACGATACCCCTTGACAAGCGTCTTGCTGCTGATGGGAGAGGCCTGCAGGATGTGCAGATCAACGATAATTTCGCCAAGCTATCTGAGGCACTCTATGTTGCAGAGCAGAAAGCAAGAGAAGCAGTTGCAATGAGATCGAAGGTTCAGAAAGAAATGATGATGAAAGAGAAAGAAAGGAAAGAGCAGGAACTCCGGGCTTTAGCTCAGAAGGCTAGAGCTGAGAGAACTGGCACTGTGGTAGCCCCCCCACCTTCTTCAATGGCAACCCCTATGGATGACATGGATACCAGGGGGGATTATGATACAGTGAGAGAGAGGCAAAAGGATGCACCACCTAAGGAGTCAAGAGAGGAGAGGGAAGAACGCCTGAAACGGGACAAGATCCGAGAAGAAAGGAAAAGGGAAAGAGAGAGGGAGAGAAGGCTCGAGGCCAAAGATGCTGCCATGGGGAAGAAGAGCAAGATCACGAGAGATAGGGACCGTGATATCAGTGAGAAGATTGCCCTTGGCGGGGCTAATGTCGGAAATGGAAAAGGCGGGGGAGAAGTTATGTATGATCAGAGGCTGTTCAACCAGGAGAAGGGAATGGATTCTGGGTTTGCCACGGATGATCAATACAATGTGTATGATAAAGGTTTGTTCACCGCTCAGCCGACGCTCTCAACCTTGTACAAGCCGAAGAAGGATGTGGATGGTGAGATGTATGGAGGTGCAGATGAGCAGATGGATAAGATCATGAAGACAGAGAGGTTCAAACCGGACAAGGCGTTTACTGGTACATCGGAGAGGGCTGGCCCCAGAGACAGGCCAGTGGAATTTGACAGGGAAGTGGAGGAGGCTGATCCGTTTGGTCTGGATCAGTTCTTGACTGAAGTGAAGAAGGGGAAGAAAGCTATGGATAAGGTTGGTGGTGGTGGGACAATGAGAGCTAGTGGTGGGTCTTCAACCCGCGATGGTTATGATGGTGGTTCTGGTAGATCCCGCATTGGTTTCGAGAAGGGGAAGTAATGCTCTGGTGGTCTAGATATGCAGCAGCAGCTAGCTTGCTTGGTTGAACTTTTGTGGTGCACTATTTCTGTTTGTGTTAGTTTCTGGTGCTCTAGATATGCAGCAGCAGCTAGCTTGCTTGGTTGAACTTTTGTGGTGTACTATTTCTGTTGTGTTTGTTTTTGTTTGCTTTTAGTTATGACTATTTCAATGGAATGGGAGACACTGGTTTAATCAGTTTAATGGTAAAATCTCGATGAACTCATCTGCCTTCTCCTGATTCCATGTCTATGTATTCAATAGCTTATGTTGTTTGATCTTGGTATTGTGGAATATATTTTGATGTCCAGCATGTTCTTTGGGAGAATGGATCAGAATTTGAAAATTCGGTCCGTGGAGTTCGTCCGGAATATTCTGTGTTGCTGTAATTTGAGGTTTGAATTTCTCTCCACTTCTATATTCTGAAATCCCCAAGTCACTTTCATTCACTATCGCGGGGAGGGCGGGAGGCCTGTACCCGCTCGCTCACCGCTGGTTTCTTTTCTGTCCAGCTGCCAAACGCTAGGGAAGAGGCTTTTTATGCCAGAAAATCAGAAAAAAGATGAACTGTTCTTCCTCTTCTTCCTTCTCCCATCTCTAAGAACCCTAAACCCCTAAACCGACTTGTTTTTTTTTTTTTTTTGACAAGAGATGTGCTTATATTGCAATTTGGAAATCACGGTTACAAGAGGCGGATTACATCAATGGAACAACAAAAGCAAAATGAACACTCTAATAAAAAGGCAGAACAATCAAAGACAAAAGCAAAGCTAGAGAACCAGCCACAACGAAGAGCAGGCAAGATTGAACTACACCAATATGAGAGAGCCATCACCAGGATCAAGGAAGTGAACCCAAGAACCTCACGTTTCCACAACCAACAGATCAGCAACAAAGCAGACAAGACCATGGCGCTTGAAAACACAACGCCATAAGCCGCCTCCTGGGGATCGTTCGAAGACGATCCATCACAATGAATCACAAGGTTCAATTACATGGCGGTGGGCAGAGCTGAAACCGGGATGCTCAGAGCTGAAAAAAGGTCGAGGATGCCGAAGGCAAGATGGACCGAGAAATGGAGAGACAAAGAACTCCAGCCTAGTCTCAACCGAAACCCAGAACAGCTGCCAATGACAAACGGAAATGACACCGAAACCCACAACAGCTGAGAAGAGACGAGGCTGAGATGCTCACCAACAGTCGACGGCAGGGGAAAACGGCGAATGAGTTCTTCCGAACAGAAGAAACCACCAACAAGGAGGAGCCACTCAAGCACCAGATCTTCATCAGAGACTCTCCCAGCTGCAAAATCCGAAACCCAAGCAGAGCAAAGCAAGACCAGAGAGGAAAATCTTAGATCCGAGAAGAAGAGAAGGCGCTCTGAAAACTGAAACGCCACAACGGCAGAGAGACCCTAAACAAGAAGATCCGGGTGAAAATCGCCAAAGACAAAGGTATGAAACACAAGAGCAAGAAGAGCAAAGGAAAGTACAAAAAAGAGAGACTGAGCTGCCGCCGGTCACCAAAAGGAGCCGGCGGCAGTCATGGGAAATGTGAAAAAGGAGCCTGCTCCGAGAGAGAGGGGAGAGCGAATTTTGAAAAGGAAAGTAAGAGAGAGGAGAAAAAAACCCCTAAACCGACTTGTTGGACCAAAAATACCAATTTAATTGTCCAGGATTCTTCTTAATATCCAATATTAAATAATATAGTACACATAGTAGTAGTCCAAAAAAATTATTCATTTTCCTGCTTTGAAAGCTAATGATCAGTTTGATGCAGTTTTCGAGTAGTATGATGAAGAACTTATTCTATGCCCAATATTCTTGAGAAGACACATGCATATGAGTCGGTATGCCATAGAGAATGTAGGATCTTAGTGATAATTGATAATTCATAGAGTTCAAGGTTGTACCACTACCGTACAATATTAACATGATCCTTTAGGCCGATGATTTTTAGAGACTTTGGGGTTGTTTAAATGATAGAATTTCAAGTGATTGTATTTAATCAATACATGCAATTTCAAGATTAAGTAGTTTTGTTGGTTAAATTTGAGATATAATATATGTATTACTATTTTTATGGATCCATTCTGTTTTCTATGGACCCACCTACAGTCTCTTTAAATGAGTGATTAAATCTCTACTAAAATGTGAGATTGTTATATTTTTTTTTATTTTTTTTAGTACAAAATGTGAGATTGTTAACAAGGGATTGTCTACCCCAATTTTTCTTTATAACAAAAACAAAATATAAACTTCCATACAAGGTATTTTTCGAATTTTTACATTTAATCAATGTATCAAATTACAATACACAAATTAATTAAATGCATCAATTTTGAGAATCCCAACCTCCGAATAAATTCATTAATAGTGAAATAAATGGTGCAATCATGCTAGTACTAATACACCGAATCCCATCAAAGTATTAGTGGTGAAATAACGTTCAATGTATCAACTTTGAGACGATAGCTTATAATTTCGCACTAGATAAGTTACCCACATGCACATTGCACGCATATTGGGTCTTAACAAATTGTTAGAGTAATTGCTGTGCTTGGAACATACTTATCGTGAGACAAATTCAGTGGCACACAAACTTTCTAGTTTAAATCAATGTAACTTAAATAATTGTCATATGGCCTAATCAGTCAAGGTACAGGAGGTGCCGCCCCTCCATTCCTCAAAAAATTTGCTAGAGAAATAGATCTCGCAAATGACAAATTGGCCCCAAGGCAAAAACAATACTAGATAGCTTATAATCACACACTGATTATGATTCCCAAAAGTATCGAACTAGCAATGGAAGAAATAAATTGGTTACTTTTTTTTTTTTTACAATAAGTGATTTCCATTCATTTCAACAACTATAAGAGTAAAAGCCAAACCATACTACAGTAATGGAAGAATAATGTTAAGCACTTGTATCCAATCCTGTGGGAGAGAACTATTAATCTTTTCCTTTGCAACCCAATCAACACCTTTGTTAGATAATCTCGGGACAAAACGGATGGACAACCCCAAACTTGCACGCAGAGCAGCTCGAATTCTCTGAATCCACGCTCTCACATGCCATGGGCCAGTATTCTGAGGATAGAGAAGAATATCCACAAGCATCTTGCAATCCGAAAAAATCGTTGTTGAGGTTTGACGGGTTGCAGCCAAGCTTACTGTAGTGAAAACAGCTTTCGCTTCCGCAACTATCGCCGACGAACAGAAGAAAGTGCCAGCACAACCATCTACAACTAGACCATGGTGATCCTTGATGATGACCCCATATGCCGTCACCTGTGATTCTGATATGAACGATCCATCACAATGAATTTCCCACTGGGAAGAACTAGGCGGTAGACTCAGTGTAGCATGATTAACAGAGTGTCGGTACTGGACATTGGGGGAAGATGGTGCCATCTGAGGAGGAGTGGTCCAGAAATTGAAATTTCTTACCGCATTTGCTGAGGTTGAATCAGTCCTAGGCACAATGCCCTTGAAAATTCTCTCATTCCTAGCTAACCAAATGGCCCATAGGCATGCCACAACCGCCGAGACAGAGATCGCAGGGAGACTTTCATGGATAGCGAACAACCACATGACAATAGACATTGCATCCTGAGGGAGAGGAAGAGACGGATGATTGACCTGCCATACCCTTGCTGCACGGGGACACTGAAAGAGACAGTGCCTAACATCCTCTTCATTCGTCTCACAAATCGTGCACACCGGAGATGGACTACACTTTCGATACCAAAGATTCCTCCTCGTAGCCACCGCATTCCTCGATATCCTCCAGATGAAAGAAATGATCTTTGGGGACAAAGAAAGACTCCATAACCACTTCCAAGCTTTACTAGTACAACTTGGATGATTCGGGTTAGGAGTCCCAAGACGAATCCTTTCAGCCTCCCTGAAGATGTGGTAAACCGACTTGACCAAAAACACACCCGACTTCTCGAAATGCCAAACCCACTCATCCTCAACATCCATCGTCCCAATAAGGATTCTCTTAATTGCCTCAACTTCTTCCTCAGAACAGCTTTGCCTAATAAGGTCAAGATTCCATTCACATCCATCTTCCATGACCCATTGAAAAGCCCACATTTGGTGTCTATCAATCGGCTAAAGTTTAAATGTGTTGAGCCCCGGGATCCAAGGATCTTTTTCCAACGAGATTGACCTACCACTTCCCATGTTTTTACGAGCCCCCAACTTCAGGATTGACTTAGCTTCATGAATACTAGACCAAATCCAAGATGGTTTCCTTCCCTTCTCCACTTCGATGAACTCACAATTGGAAAAATAGAGACCTTTGAGGAGCTTAATCCATGTCTCATCCTTACCATTGATGATCCTCCAACCTTGCTTTGCCAATAAGGCCATGTTAAATTGATGAAAGTCCTTGAAACCCATGCCTCCTTCTTGCTTTGGAGCTGTTAGAACGCTACCCTTTCTCCAAGGGATAGCCTTCTTCTCCATATCCCCACCCCAGAAGAAGGCATTGAGTTTAGAACTCAATCTTAGTCGTTCCTTTAGGTATCAAGAAGCACACCATCAGATAGGTTGGGTATCCTTGGAAGACCGATTTCAATAGTGTCTCCCTTCCCACTTGAGATAGGACATGTAAGACTCTTCCAAGCTTGACCCAGCTTTTCCATTCTGTTCAAAAGGACCAAAAAACCTCTTTCTTTGATCTACCCCATTATGTAGGGACCCCCAAGTATTTCCCCAATCCAGTAGTCAATGGAATACCCAAGTGGTCTCCAATTAGCTGTTTAATAGCATCGGGAGTGTTGTGAATGAAGGTAATTGCTGACTTTTCACAATTAATCTCTTGACCCGTCATTGAACCAAAGCACTTCATTGTTTTCCTTATATGCATAGCTTTCGCCACTGGCGCTTTCCCAAAAAGGATAGTGTCATCTGCAAAAAGGGCATGAGTGAGTCTGGGACAATTTGGGTTCAGGCAAATGACCTGGATCATGCCCTCTTGGACACTCTTAGATATAAGAAAATAATGTGCATTAGTTAGGAGGATAAAGAGGAGAGGAGAAAGGGGGTCTCCCTGACGGATGCATCTCGAAGGCATGAAGGACTAAGAGGGTTGGCCATTAAAGAGGACCGAGAACTGCACCGTCTCAACACATTCTTTGATCCAAAGAAACCATTGTGGCGCAAAACCCATCACTCTCAATATAAACTCCAAGCAATCACATTCAACCATATCATAAGCCTTCTTCATATTCAGTTTAATCATCATATCCCACTTCCCACCTTTTGGACGAGTCTTGAAATGATGCATGACCTAGTGGACAATAATGATGTTATCCTGAATAGCTCTCCCTCCGATGAACGCCGATTTCATTTCATTCACAAGCTTTGGAATCCAAACATTCAACCTAGAAGTCACGATCTTTGAGTCACATTGTATATGAAATTGCAACATCTAATAGGCCTGAATTGGGATACCCTCTTAGGGTTCAGGATCTTCGGAGTCATCACAATGTCAGTATCATTCCACCCCTCTGGCATCACCCCATGAGTAAAGAAATATCTCACTTCCTCACACAGCTGCGAGCCAATAGTATCTCATTAGCACCTATAGAACATCCATGGGAAATTGTCCAGACCCGGAGACTTATCAGCCCCAAGGTCAAATATAGCCCTCCTAATCGCCTCATTGTCAAAAGGTTAACATAAGGCATGGTTCATCTCCTCAGTAACCAGCTTAGGAATGTCAAAGAAAGTCCACGGGTCCACCCTTATCTCCCTTTTCTTGAATAAATCCATGAAAAAGGAGACACGGTGATGTTAGAGATAATTCTGGTGGACCAACCAATTGTTCGCTCCATCCAAGAGCTTAACAACCTTGTTCCTGTGACTCCTAAGGATTGTCGAAGTGTGGAAGAATCTACTATTTTTATTCCCGCCTTTAAGCCACTAAATTTCAGATCTTTGCCTGCAAAAACTCTCCTCTTCCCTCCATAACACATTAAGCTCATCAAGCAGAGTCCTCTCTTCTTCAGCAAAAATCGGATCACAAGTGAAATCAAGGATAACTTTCAACCTTGCCTGAATAGCTTTGATATTTTTATTCCAAAAGCTCCCTACGGCAAGCCACCAGGCAAATTTGGTGGTTGCCTCCTCCCTCCCAAATGTTTCTAATAATGTCACCACAACTCTCATAGCTAGGCTAACGATGATCAAATCGAAAAATAGCCTTTCGTCTACCATGATTCCCGAACAAATCAATTCTCATAGAGCAATGATCCGAACCCACCATAAGTTCATTGTGGATGATAGCTTGATCAAACGCTTCTCTCTTTTCTAGCGAGCATAACCCTCGATCCAATCCTCCCAAGATTCTTCTCTCTCCTTCTCTCATATTTGACCACGTGAATCTTGGCCCTTTGAAATCGATATCGAGGAGGCCATTCCTGAACACAAACTCCTTGAACGCAAAATGTTCCAGGATATCCAACAACCTATTACAGCTCAGACTCGCTACTGCTATCGACAGAAACAGCGGATTCGTTTGATGAAAGCTATCCAACTGAGTTTCTCAACACTCTTACATTCAACGGAGTACCAGACCACGAGATCCCATTAAAGGTAAACACACCAGTTATGCTCTTACGCAACTTAAACCCTGGTCTTGGCTTATGCAACGACACAAGAATAATGATCACATCGTTGGGCAACAACTATATAAAAGGCAACATTATGGGTGGTTCCTATGATACTGATGAGGTCATTATACCAAGAATAGTGTTGAATGTGGAGAACTCCAAGTGACCCTTCATACTCAAAAGGAGGCAATTTCCGGTTCGACTATGCTATGCGATGACTATAAATAAAAGCCAAGGGCAAACACTTGAAAAGGTTGGGATATATTTGCCTGAACCAGTGTTCAGTCACGGCCAACTTTATGTGGGAGTTTCAAGAGTAAGATCAGCAAGAGGTTTGAGGATTCTTATAGAAAACCCACCAGAAATACCTCATGAATTTACAAGAAACATAGTCTTCAACAAAGCATTTGCCAATATAGTGGATACCTAAATTACTTATCAGGTAATTCCATTAAACCTATTAAACTAACAAATGTTTGCATCAGTAAATGTGACTGAAATAATTTTATTTCTTTTGTAGGATCGAAGAAATTCACCGGCGTACTCACTTTGACCATTGACTACCCGCCGGTTATTCTGTTTAGCCCATATGGAAGTCCCTGATGTTTGTATCTGAATAGTTCAGAGAGGTGAATGTTTTGTCTTGATCATGCGTCCAAATAATGAATGATGAAGAACTACATTCACCTTCACTTTTGGCGATCAGCTCCTCAAACACATGTTGCAGTTTATATCATATAAATGGTAGATCTGAGTTATTAGAACCGTGTTTATCTAAATGTAAGATAGAAAAACTCAATTTTGTACAAATTGCCTTGCCTGGACCACAATCCACAAAACTATAGGGCAATACAAAGTGAATCAGTAAACATACAGGCCCGTTGTTCAAACCCACAATACAATGACCAATGCAAAGCCTTTATAGTCACAAACATGATTTAAATAAAAGCCCATAATACAGGCCCGTTCAAACAAAGCAATCCTCCTTAAAACCCTATCCTCCCTCATCAACCATCGACAACCGCCGTCCACATCTTCATCAACCTTTCTCCGTCGAAGAAGCCCCACCACAGAAACTACCAGACAAACATTAAAGCAAAGGTAAGTCCACGTCTCTCTCTTCTTCACCGCTTTTACTACTGAAACAACATTTCTGGTCAGATTTTGTATTGTTCGCACAGAGACCCCACTTGCCATGGAGAGTTTAGGCAAGAACCGCCAGACAACAGATGGCGCTCCCATGGTCCCCACCGATATCAAAGGTGAGAACTTTCACTTTCGTAAACAAATCCTCCCAAGAATCTCGATTCCTCTGCAAGAAAGATAAAAAATCCATTTCATTTCCCTTTATTGTCTTATAGATCCGATTGAAACTTGCATGTCATTTCGGGGTTTGCGTTTGGGCATAAATACTCGCATGGTCATTGCTCGGCCTGTGATGACGTGGCTCGAATTCCGAGATGCACCCGGGCTTAAAAACCTCAGCATGCACATGATTTGGATAGACAAGAAGGTTCATTTACAATTAAGTTACAGAATTGCATAATTTATTCATAAGTTCTTTTAGACCAGTGTACCATGTAGTTTGAGATCGCTAAACTGTTTATCTTATAGGCACGATTGATCAAGTCGATGGTTGATGAAAAGGACATCAGTGAGATTTCTCGCAGGATTAAAGTCGGGAACCTTTATCGTTTTGATTCGGTGGTGACTATACCAGCAAGAGAGAATCCTAGGATTGTTGCAGGAGAGTTAAGGATACACATAACTCCCGAACAAAACATCCCTAGGATTGAAGAAGACCCAGATGAGCCACAATTACCCATTGGCTGGGACATTGGGATGGCTTTTTCGATAGTCCCACTTCAGACAAATACCATTGACTATCATACAGGTTACGCGTGACTATCTCAGTTTCTTATGCTAAAATAAACGTAAACTTTAAAATGACAAACTCTCTCGATAACCACAGATATCACTGCGTGCGTCAGGCGTATTAGTGTTCCTACAACAGTTCGTGGTACCCTCCGAGAATTCAACCTGGTCATACAGGATGTGAGGTGCGTTCTATAGAATAATATAGTACTTTATTAATTATATGAACCATCCATCTTACATATATCTGTCACAATCAGTGGTTCCAAGGCATCTGTGCTATATAGAGGATATGACATCCCGAAGTTCTTAGAGAATGCGCCGACAGCTGAGGCTCATCTGCCCCTCATTGTTACAATCAAAGCTGCTATTCGAGTGCCGCATCTGTCCACCCAGAAATATAAATATCGTTTTGAATCAACTCCTGCCAGTAAGTTGATAATCAGATCTTATGCATGCACATTCAAAGAAATAATGAACATGTACACTTCTGTCTGAACAAATGTTATTCATTCTTTGATTCATATATACTGTCAACCGACCAGAACAAAGATAACAATTTTTATTACTTTGCTACAACCAGCTTTCTTCATAGTCGCAGGCAGGTCTACTACATGGACGCCAACACCAGTAAGAAAACAGGCTGCCTTCGATCAACAATTGAGAATAAAACACTTGCTGACATCAAAGCTATGCTTGCATCTGATCAGAGCTGCCACAAGGTTAGTCGTGGACAAAATGCATCATAAATAGCTACATCCAGCAGTTACAATTTATAAACAAATATTGCTAACTAAGATATACCATTCGTATTAGATGCTTTACCGTGCCAAGTTCCACATATCACAGATGAAATTTCGAAAAAACATTTGCAGAACAACTGAGGAATGGCCAGAGTATGTTTACTATTTCAATGCGCATCTATTATCTACTAATTTATCCACAAAGAAACTAACAAGACTTCTCGCTTACATTTATGACCAGCTTGCACTATCAGCTCGAAGTCAAATGTGAACAAGGATCTGATGACATTGATGCCATACTGGACCATGAGGCAACTCTCTCAATAATCGGAATGACGCCAAGCAAGTACATGAAACTCGATGCGGATGCGGCTAAGGCGTTGCTGATCAATAAATGCAGCAGAATGTTTGCAGGAGAACTGTACATCGGTTCCTCGGATCTCAAGAACAGAACCGCACCAGCCAAACCTCACGTCAGAGTTTCAACACTTTGGCACACCTCAAGAATCGACAAGTGATCGTCAGCACCAATGATAGAAAGAGCCCCTGCTACGTGTTTGCTACCTTTATTATCCTCCTTCCTTAACTAAGTTTTTATTTCCTTAACTAATTTTTTATTCTCAAGGTCCAACGAGGACAAAACAATGTTTAAATTTGATTAGGATTCTCGGATTTCACAAGGTTGTTATGTACTATCTATTGTTTTTATGCTTTGAGACATTAAATCCGCAGCACGGTTACGTGCACCCAACTATAATGCATCTACAATGGCAGCATTCTTGCTATGACAACTATGATGTTTGATGAGGACAGCTAGGTGACATAATTGAACGGCCCCGTGTACGCTGATAACATATATATCATAATCCATGAAATTACTCAAGCCAAACTTAACCCGCCGCAAAGCCCGGGCTAATTACTAGTAACATAATTAAAACCCGCTCCTAATGAACTAAATGTGATAAAAAAAAGGAAAAACAGGAAAATCGTAAACCTTCAGAGCTTAAGATAGGCAGTTAGTACTACGACTACTAGGCATCTTTTATTGGATCCGGAACTCTGCTCCTTTCGTCACTCGATCATTTCTGCAGCTCAATTACCCGATTTCCTCACCGACGAATCCACCTGCGGCTGCACTACAGATCGGGAGCCGCCTAGCAAGGTCCTCCCTCTCTTCGCCTCTCCTCTTTCAACCCCTAGCTATTGTCTTGAATGTGATCGTTGATTTTCAGGTTTCGAAAGAAACCGTCTTCCTCTCCCCCTCTCCCGCATCGGGAAATTTCGACTTAGTCTTCCCCGCTGTTGTTAGATTTCCGGGTTTGAGGTCATTTGTGCTTTGGTAATCAATTGATTTGGGTGTGTGATATATCGATTTGATCCGCGTGATTTGTGGCTCCTCCTTCATTTGATTAGCGACTGTGTAGATTTTGTTGAGAGTTGAGTTAGTTGCGTAAATGGTAAAATTTTGGGAATGCAGAATGGCTCGCAACCATCTACTTGGTCCTGGATTCAATTTATTTGTCATAACGTCCAATGCAGTCAAAATCGCGATTCTACCTAGAAGCGGAAAATGGGTAAAATCGTAAAGCGTAGATTCAAAGCGTAAAAACGTAAGTTTTTGACGTATACTTTAATATAACGAAAATGTGTTAAGTACGATAAAATATGAGTGGACATAGTTTAGATAAGTTAATAAATACTTGTAATTCATGTATAAAGTTGAGAAACTCATAACATTTTAACAATAAGTTCATAAACATATATCTTAACAATAAGCTTCATTCCCCTCTATCCTAGTGAATTTGGGAAGGGCATAGCTGGTGAATTAGATTACTCTATTGAAACTAAGAATGCACCCAAGTACTTTATATGTATCTTTTAATCTCAAATATATCATATTTTTTGTGATTTACCTTAAAAATATAAGTATTTTCATGAATAGAATACTCTATTAGTGAACTAGAAGTGTAAAAGCGTAAAGCGTTTTAGTGATCCAGAAGCGTAAAAGCGTAAATTTTTAAGCTTTAAAGCGCATTTTAGTCCCGATTTTATACACTTAAGATTTTATATGGAAACGAAAACGTTTTGGTGTCCTAGAAGCGTAAAACCGTAAGTTTTTAAGTTTTAAAGCGCGATTTTGACTGCATTGATAACGTCTTGTCCTGACTTCTTTTCCTCTAGCTGAACCCAGCTGTGGTGTTGCATTTGATGCCTTGTTTGTTAGCTTTTCTTTTTGATTGATGAATGTGTTATTGTTACCCTCCCATTGCAATCATAGCTTCCGGATCCCGGAATTTGTCTGCTTCACATTGAAGTTAAAGGTTTGTTTTTTATATATCAAAATTACCAGAAAGCGAAAGTGGGATGATGGAGAAATCCTGTTCTTTGCTGGTCCACTTCGACAAAGGAACACCAGCGATTGCAAATGAGATAAAGGAAGCTCTAGAAGGGAATGACGTTCTCGCCAAGATTGATGCCATGAAGAAGGCAGTCAGTCTTCTGTTGAATGGTGAAACCTTGCCTCAGCTTTTCATCACAATTATTAGGTATGTTTTGCCTTCTGAGGATCACACCATACAGAGGCTGTTGCTGCTCTACTTGGAAATTATTGACAAGAAAGATGCCTCGGGAAAGCTTCTACCTGAGATGATATTGATATGCCAAAACTTGAGAAACAATCTTCAACACCCAAACGAGTACATTCGCGGGGTGACTTTGAGGTTTCTTTGCCGGCTTCACGAGACAGAAATAATAGAGCCATTGATTCCTTCGGTGCTGCAAAATCTGGAGCATCGACACCCATTTATCAGGAGGAATGCCATCTTTGCAGTGATGTCAATATATAAGCTTCCCCAGGGCGACCAGCTTCTGGTTGATGCTCCTGAAATGATTGAGAAGGCACTTTCTACTGAGCATGATCAATCAGCTAAGAGGAATGCATTTCTGATGCTCTTCACTTGTGCGCAGGAGCGAGCTATCAATTATCTTTTCAGTCATGTTGATAAGATCTCGGAATGGGGTGAGCAGCTTCAAATGGTTGTTTTGGAGTTGATTCGTAAAGTATGCCGAACAGATAAGGGAGAGAAAAAAGGGAAATACATAACAATCATCATATCTTTGTTGAATTCCCCTTCTAGTGCTGTGGTTTATGAGTGTGCTGGAACACTTGTTTCTCTGTCGTCCGCACCGACTGCTATTAAAGCTGCTGCTAACACTTATGGGCAACTTCTCCTGTCTCAGAGTGATAACAATGTCAAGCTCATTGTGCTTGATCGACTGCAGGAGCTTAAGTCTTCTCACAGGGAAATCATGGTTGATTTGGTTATGGACGTGCTTAGGGCACTCTCGAGTCCCAATCTTGATATCCGCCGGAAGACCCTTGATATTATCCTTGACCTGATCACTGCACGGAATGTAAACGAAATTGTGCAGATGTTGAAGAAGGAGGTTGTTAAGACTCAAAGTGGAGAGCTTGAGAAGAATGGTGAGTATAGGCAGATGCTAATTCAAGCCATTCATTCATGTGCTATTAAGTTCCCAGAGGTGGCAAGCACCGTGGTTCACTTGTTGATGGATTTCCTTGGAGATAGCAACATTGCGTCAGCTAGTGATGTGGTCATTTTTGTTCGAGAAATAATTGAAACCAATCCAAAACTCAGAGTCTCAATAGTAACAAGGCTGTTGGATACTTTTTACCAGATCCGAGCAGCCAGGGTATGTGTGGGTGCTCTTTGGATCACTGGAGAGTACTGCCTTTCCCTCTCTGAGGTTGAGAGCGGCATAGCAACCATCAAGCAGTGTCTTGGGGAACTTCCCTTTTTCTCTGTTACAGAAGAAGGTGAAGTTACTGATACTTCCAAAAAGCCTCCACAGCAAGCAAGTTCCATCACTGTTTCTTCAAGAAGACCTGCTATCCTTTCCGATGGGACATATGCGACACAAAATGCTGCCTCTGAAACTGCCTTTTCCGCTCCTAGTGTGATTCATGGGTCATTGTCTTCTGGAAACTTGAGATCCCTTCTTCTCACCGGTGATTTTTTCCTTGCTGCAGTTGTAGCATGCACTTTAACAAAACTTGTACTGAGATTGGAAGAGGTACAGTCGTCTAAGGTGGAGGTGAACAAAGCTGTCACTCAGGCTTTGTTGGTAATGGTCTCCATGCTGCAATTGGGACAGTCTTCTGTTCTGCCTCATCCAATTGACAGTGATTCGTATGATAGGATTCTTCTGTGCATAAGATTGCTATCCAATACTGGCGATGACATCCGGAAGATATGGTTGCAGTCATGCCGTCAAAGTTTTGTGAAAATGCTTTCGGAAAAGCAATTGAGAGAGACCGAGGAATTGAAGGCAAAGGCTCAAGTTTCTCACGCACAACCAGATGATCTTATCGACTTTTATCATTTGAAGAGCAGGAAGGTAAGAACCCCTTGAGCTATGTGTTAAATGAGTTTCTTTACGTGATAAACGGCTGCACCCTTTTTTTAGTTTGTGTATGTTGCAATATAGGTCTTTGTGCATGATTAGTATGATTAGGATTTCTCCCCCAACCCCAATTGCTTGCAGCTATTTCCTGTGGAAGATCTTTCTCATTCATTCTTGTCAACAATCTTTGACCAATTGCACTCGACAACCTAATAGTCTGAGTGCTCTACTTTATTCTCGCTATTGGTTTTCTATTTCTCTTCTCAGTTATGCTTGTCCTTGTATGACCTTGTTGCTTAAGTTAAAGGGAAAAATTGTATGATACTTGTATCGTATTTTCAGGGTATGAGTCAGCTCGAGTTAGAGGATGAAGTTCAGGATGATTTAAAACGTGCAACAGGAGAGTTTATCAATGATGGCAATGACACAAATAAGCTTAACCGAATTATTCAGCTCACTGGATTTAGCGACCCTGTGTATGCTGAAGCATATGTCACGGTTCATCACTATGATATTGTACTTGATGTCACTGTTATCAACCGGACAAAGGTAACCCTCCAAAACTTATGCCTGGAGTTGGCTACAATGGGGGATCTCAAACTTGTTGAACGTCCCCAGAATTATGCTTTGGCTCCTGAATCTAGCAAACAGATAAAGGCTAACATCAAGGTCTCCTCTACTGAGACTGGAGTTATTTTTGGTAACATCGTTTATGAGACATCCAATGTGTTTGAACGGACCGTTGTTGTCCTCAACGATATCCACATTGATATCATGGACTATATTTCTCCTGCATTTTGCTCGGATAATGCATTTAGAACCATGTGGGCAGAGTTTGAATGGGAAAATAAGGTAATCTCTAGAATCCTTCTTTCTTAGATTTCCTTTGGTTTTGGTAGCTTTTGGCATGCATGGCTTCTGACAAATGGCTAACTCTTCGCAGCAAAGAGTGCTTGGTTGGGGTTTTAAGAAGTAGAGTTGATGGATTTGTGAAACAACTTTGTTGATAAAATAATTTTCGATGGATAGTAGAAATGCTTATTACAAAGGGGCGAAATTAGAAATTGAATTTATCTGTTATTTTGTTTTTGGATTTATATAATTTGTGGGGTTTGGGTAAATAAACAATTTAAAAATAGATTGCAGATGCCTTTTTGCTTTTACCTCAACTTTCTTTTTGGGTCACTTGTTTTGCTCTTTATTCTCTCACTCGTGACATTTTCTTTTATCACTCGGCTCTCGTCTGATCTCCCAATGCCAGCGCATGCTTTTTTCTAATAGTGCTCTACTCTCTGCTTCTGTCAGGTTGCTGTTAACACAACAATTCAGGACGAGAAGGAATTCCTGGACCACATTATCAAGTCAACAAACATGAAGTGCCTCACTGCACCGTATGTCCTTTTGGTCTTATGCGCTGATTCTATGTCATGTTTTGGCATTCTACCAGAAAAATTATGTATCACGAAGAGACTCGGTCTTTGATTAAGGTGCTTGCCTGTCTGGTTCGTTTTCCCCCTTTTTCCCCAGGTCTGTACTGGATGGCGAGTGTGGATTCCTAGCTGCAAACTTATATGCCAAGAGTGTGTTTGGCGAGGATGCTTTAGTAAACGTAAGTCTGGAGAAGCAGGGAGACGGGAAGCTCAGTGGGTACATCAGGATAAGGAGCAAGACCCAGGGAATTGCACTCAGCTTGGGGGATAAAATCACCCTTAAGCAGAAGGGAGGAGGAAGTTGATTCTGGAGAGATCTAGATTAGAATCACACAGGTAACCCATATTTCACCCTTTGGTCTCAAGCATGTGTCTTTACGGGTGGCTGCTTGTTTTTCTAGTTAACCGAACGAGTTGAAGAGGCATTAAGTGGTTTTCAGGTTTACCTTATTGGTTTCAGTTTATGGTAATGGTTTTCGTTTCGACTATAAACTTGAAACATAATCGACAAACCCTAACGGTTATGAGCTTCAATTATTGACTGCTTTATAGTTCAGTCAATCAGACTGAACTGGTTAACCACCTCCTATTTGTCAATAGTGAATGATCGCTTTGTATTATTGTTCCAGGTGCTCCCTGCAATTATCTGGAAGATTGCCTCTCAGCAGGCTGAATTTTTGCATATCTGTATCTATCTACTACCTAGGGGACGAAGGAACTGATTGATGGCGTCTTATACAGTTGCAGAGAACTTGGGTTCAGCATCTTCCTTGCTTAAATTTTTTGCATTGGCTGAGACATTCGAATCCTCTGGTTTCGTTGAACTCCCCTTTATGATACTACTCTGTTTTGAGGTCTCACAAGCGTCATTAAATTTTAAGCTTACTGTATCTCAGTAGTCAGTATACAGGCTGAGGGGAAAAGATTGGCCAAACTACACTGTAGATTTTTCACCAGACCCATCTGGACTTCAGCCCAATTGCGGGCATTGTTATCACTGGGGATTTTAGAATTAAGAATAACAATCCAGAACAAGATTGGAGCTCTGTTATTGCAAGGAAAGACCGAGTTGTTGCTGATCACTCTTGTCCTTGTTTAATGTTTGCCTTTTGAAGATTTTTCGTTTCGGTATGTAAAATGTAATTGAATAATAATGTTAAGCTCTGAACCCAAAACGGGTGATTTCTGTCGTTGGATTTGAAGAAAGAGGGTTTTGGTTAAAACTCGATTCGAAGATGTTACCTGTGAATAGATTAAGTACTAACACACCGACTAAAAGTGTTACCTGTGATGCCAACTAGGGAGCTTGACGCTCGCCACAAGTATATAAGGACGTTTAAGTCCTCCAAAGATGGGACCTCTTCTTCTCTTCCCTCACTTTCCACTTTGACTCTCTCTGCACTTTATCTCTCTACATTATTCTCTCAATTTACTCGAAACGGAAACTAACTTGATCGATGGAGTTTAATTTGGGGGCATCCCTGGCCTTTTCACAGGTTCCTTCCTTCCCGACGAGCTCAGACGAACGGATCGTGAGTCAACCTCGACAAACAAGTTATTGTTCGAACCGGAGCTAGATGGTACAAACAGAAGAACTCGGAATTATGATAGATTTGAGGAAATTTTTGTTTGGTTGTTTGATTTCATAATTGATTTTGGTGAATTAGATTGTAAATATGAAGCACAATTGCCTTATTATCATATTTTAATTATTTATCTACTGTAATTTGTTTTCATATAAACTCATACTTACCACATTTTATTAACGAACAATTGCATGGCTTCAAGTTAACCACGCCATACAAATTAAAGATCCCAATAAAATTAATTCACCACAACTACCTTATAAACAAACAGTTAATGGGTAACTAGTAACTACTACATAAAATAAACAATCTGATTCCGAGCCATAAACTTAAAACACTTTGTTTTTCCATGCCTCTTACTGCCACATCAATCACCACCATTCATCAATTTTGTGGCAGTCTGTTGTGCAATGTATGGGCATTCAAGTTCTATCACTTTATTCCACAATGTTCATTCGAAAGAAATAATGTAGAAGGCTAGTCTAACTTGCTAAGTCATTATGGCTCAATCAATTACTAATTAATGTCTATGACAAGACGAGATGATGGAGTTTGCATGAAATTGAAAATTATAAAATATTTATCTATGTCTATCAAACTCTAGAGACTAGGAGTTGTATTTTTTTTATTTTCCATAAAAAAATAGAAAAAAATTTCACCTCCTCTCTCCAATTTGTACAAAAGCAAACATGAAGGTATATTGATAACATAAGAATAACATAGGGATATATGACACAATTAATATAATGAATTTATGTTCCTTTCCCAAACCTCACATCATGATGATTAGGTTTTTACAAATCCTTCCAAATCTGTGGACGCCAGGAATTTGGCCTTTCAAATTTCTCAGACCAATGTTTTGATTTTCAATACCAAATCCATCACCACAATCAAACAAGCAAATGGTATGTGAGTTTTTCGTTTCGGTATGTAAGATATTGGAATCTTTTGTTATGATTCTAAGGAGTGTTAAAAGGATATACCTGAATTTCAAACTTGGATTTTCTCCCTTTCATAATGGGTCTAAAGGTTTCAACCATCTTGATTGCAATGATACCTACAGATTATGAAGTGGTTTGGTGAATTGAAGTTTCAAAATAATTCAAGAATTTATTTCTATGAAATGTTGGAATTGAATTTGAAAAAGATTATATTTGATAATCACGATTATTATCAAATGACATACTTACTTTTAATAAATGAGTCAAACAAAGGTTGTCCCAGGACTAGAAATGTTGTCCCAGGACTCCTTGAGCATATATTGATAATGCGGGTGGCTTCTCTAGAACTTATAGTACTTGAATGGTTTAGGTAGGCTTTTCAACTCTTTTGTTGTGTTAACAAGTAATCCACAATGGTCAGAGACTCCCGAGCGCTAATAGTACATGCAGAACTAAACTTGAAGACATCTAACCCAGGATCATTAATTAACACTTTGTCGATACGCCTGGCAATAGGATTGTGTTCTTGCTCATTCCACCAAGTGTACCATGATCCTGCAACTTTGTGATCAACCAATTGCATATTCTCAATCCACCCCCGAAAATCTATCATGCTCTGAGTTTTAGCCATTGAATTAGACGCCTCATTAACTTAAGCAATCACATTAAACTCCCCAAAAACTATCCAAGGGCTATGAGTACTTTGACATTTCACTAACTTAACTGCTGGCGTTGAGCTGTTTTATTAGGGCTATATATTGCAGTTACTACTACTTCCTCCACTTCACAAAACACTCTCACATGAAGAAAGTGCTCTCCAGACTACAACTGTACAACCTTCAGACCATTCCTCCAGAACAACCACACCCTACCAGAACTTGACTTACTATAATTATCCATATACTCCCAATCACCAAACAGACCATTTATTATAGGACCAAAGTTTTTATAGGAAACCTTAGTTTCTAATATTGCAACCAAATCTACTCTATATTTATTCAGTTTACTATATACATACCTATGCTTATTAGGGGTATTAAAACCCTTGATGTTCCATGACAGAAGAATCATCGACGCTTACCTCGCCTCTTCCCTTTCTTGGAAGGTGCAGGGACTTTAGCAGCACCAGACATATTACCAAAATTCATACCAGACTTCATACCAGTACTACCAACAACCTTCTTACTAGAATTCTCGATACTAGCAACCAGAATGTTAATATCCACTTCCTCTGCAGGTTTCCAAATTCGAGGACCAATAATCTCTTTAGTACCACTTGTGAAAGACTTGGTGACAAAATGAAACCCCCCAGAGAAGAAATTCCATAAGCAATAATTGCAGTGAGAGGGGAGACTAGAGCGATCACCTGAGTAGCTGGAGCATCAGTTCCACAACCCACCTCATTAGCCTTCTGAGTCCAAACAGCATCCCCCTCCATTTTACATTCAACGCCCTGACCTACCTCATAGCCATATATATGACATTGGAGGCATCCCGGTGGGAGACGAAGGTATTCAATAGTCAGAGAAAAAGCTTGCTCACCTTTCTACTGAACACGGTTCTCTTCCTGAAATCCACAGTCTACCCTCAGATCAACGCACATCTTAGCAATCCCAATATGAGTACCCAATTTGGTTGCCTGGTCCATCCATAGGGGAACCCCAAGAACACTTGCAATGAGACTCAATCCATCCACAGAATGGTATTCCAACAGATAGGTAACGACGAGAGATGTATCTCTAGAGGTTGAATCCACGGCATCCAGCGACACATGAATAATGGAACGATTAAAGAAGGGGCTAGTGGTGCTTAATAGAACGCAATACTCGGATATCTCTGGCCGTACTCGTGAGGCGAAGGGTCTGTTTGTGATGGCTCAGGAGAATGTCTTGGCTGATCCCAGTGCTGAAAATATTGTTCATGAGAAGGAGCTGGCACTTATCTTTTCTGAGTTGTAAGCTGCAGAAGAGTCTTTCTATAGATAGAAGTCGAGGGCATCTTGGATAAATGAAGAGGATGACAATACAGTATTTTTCACAAGTATGTTAAAGCTCGAAACAAGAAGCTCACTATTGATCACCTCATTGATGATGCAAGGTACAATGCCTCAGATGTCAAGCAGATGGGGCAGATGGCTGTGGATTTTTATAGTAAGCTACTTGGTGAGCCTAATACTGAAGTAGCTGATTTACCAGTCAGTTATTTTGAGGGTCTGCTTCGGGCCAAACTTTCACATGAAGACTTGAAGATCTTGTCTAAACCAGTCACAAGAGAGGAGGTTCGTGTTGTTTTCTTCTCTATGGCCTCTGATAAAGCCCCTGGACCTGATGGTTACCCTACTGACCTTTGTAAGGATAACTGGGAGACCATTGGCTCGGATGTGACTGATGCTGTGATTTCTTTCTTTCAAACTGGCTTGCTTCCCAAGAGGTAAACACTACGATTCTAACCTTGATCCCTAAGCTTCAAAATGTAGAAAGGATGAAAGATTTTAGGCCTATATCTTGTTGTAACGTGTTATATAAGGACATTGCTAAGCTGCTTGCAAACATAATGGCTTTAGGACTCCCTCAAATCATTAGCCCTTAAAATATTCTTTTGCGAAAGGTCGTATCATTAGTGATAATATCTTGCTGGCCTCTTAGTTAGTTAAGGATTATCATAAAGTATCCATAACCTCGCGCTATGTAGTAAAGATTGATCTAATGAAGGAATTTGATTAAGTCGATTGGAGGTTTTTGTTCCGAGTCATGAATGCCATGGGCTTACCGGATTTCTATATTGAGCTAGTGCGTACCTGTGTTACACACCTACTTTCAGAGTGGGCTGTTTCATGCGGGGAAGGGATTAAGACAAGGGGATCCTATATCCCCTTATCTTTTTATTATCGCTATGAAAGTCTTCTCATGCTTGTTACACAAAGAAACTATTGAGAATCAAGTGTCTTATCACCGTACGTGTAAGAAACTGGGTATTACTCATCTTTGCTTTGCAGATGACTTGCTTGTCTTTTCTAATGGTCTTGTGAGGGCAGTTGCTGGAATACGCAAAGTATTGGATGATTTCTGTAGGAGCTCGGGGCTTAAATGTAAACCAGAGACGAGTAAGCTCTTCTGTGCGGGGATCCCTGCTGCAGAAAAGGACTTTATCTCGTCCTGTACATGGTTCCCACTTGACTCTCTTCCTGTTCGTTATCTGGGAGTCCCACTGATCTCAGGGAAGTTAGGCAGGGTTAATTGTCAGGTGTTGGTTGATCGAATTACTGCACGCATTAGAGGGTGGCATGCTAAAACTCTTAGCTATGCGGGTAGAATTCAATTGATCTCTTTTGTTATCTCCAGCGCTTTGCAGTTTTGGATGAATGTGTTTACTTTACCAGCAACTATATTGGAGGATATTGAGAAGATTTGTAATAATTTCTTATAGGGTGTGGGGGGAGGGAGCGCTAAGCATAAAGCTACAGCTGCCTGGTCATTTGCAGTATTAATGAAGTCTGAAGTGGGTTTGGGGATTAAGTATTTTCGTATGTGGAAAATAAAGCCCGTGTTATAAAGCATCTGTGGGTCGCATGGATCAAACTGTATCACCTCAAGTCCAATACCATTTGGGAAGATTCTGCTACCTCTATGGGATCTTGGATCTAGAAGCATATATTGAAACCGAGAACTACTGCTAGTCGATTTATCACAGGTGCAGGCGCTTCCCTCCTTTGGGATGGTAGTCCCATGTCTCGTTACTCTATAAAACGAGTGTGGTTGAGTATTAGAGGACCCTTTCCACATATTTTCTGGGCTGAGTTGGTTTGGGATAAGCCCTCCATTCCTAAGTATAGTGTTTTGACTTGGATTATTGTCCGTAACAAAATTACTGCAGCTGCCAAGCTTCTGTTGTGGGTTAAGATTAAGTCTGGGTGCTGCGTTTTTGCCCAGGGGGCGTTGAGAGCAGGTTCCATCTGTTTTGTTAGTGTTCCTTCTTTCTCGACATAGTGCAGGTTGTCTTCCCTGTTCGCATCCCTTGGTTCAGCGATTGGGATTCCCATCATGCTTGGGCGTAAAGAATGTGGCAGAGAAGTCCACATTATGTTCGTATTGGTAGGCTCTTATGGAGGCTGGTCATTGGACATGTGTGGAAGGAACACTGCTGCCGCTGGTATGGTGATGGTGGAATCTCTAATTCCAGGCAGCAAGAATTTGATCTAAAGTTGATTGCTTAATTACAAAGAGACCGCAGGTTGCTCCGGTTTTGGATAGATTTTTCGTATAAAGTATAGTCACTTATAGATGAATCTTGAGCAATATTCTCATAGTTTGTAATAGATTACTTTTGAGAGGACCCCTCGTATTTCGGTGTCCTGCATTGATGATAAAAATTTTATTCTCATAAAAAAAAAATAAACGAGTCAAACTGCAAGCTAGCAAATTATCACATATATATATAAATATAATATTTGAATAGCACAAGATTCTAACTCTGCATTATATCATAATACTAGCGTGGCCCCGACCATTTGGCCGGAGGAAGGTGAGGTATGAAATTTGATAATGTAATGGGATGTATAAATTATTGTTGTATAGTTTTTTTTGGGAAACACGTGATAAAAATAGTGAATTTTAGTAGGAAAGAGACATGAATGATGCAACGAATCAAAAATCATTCTTATGAACCAAAATCAAGTACATGTTACCTTGTGAAACAATATTGTTTCTGGTAATATGATGAGGTGGAGTAAGTTTTATAGAAACCGAATTCCAGAAAATTGAATAAAAATCGCCTATCCCGCCGATTTTAGGGAAATGAGCATTTCACAATCGTTGCTAGCTTTTACTCGGTCCGTTGGCCGATTAATTTGCTTTATAAAACTTTCATCTTGTCATCATTGTGCTTTCTGGTTTTTTGCCAAGCCATGATAAAATCTAAAGAAATCAAGAATGAACAACACGATTTGGGATAGGAACCACCGTTCCTGTATCCCTAGAAAATGGTGGTAAACACGGACTCACCTGCTAAACTGGTTTGGATTGAGATTTTTATCGGGTATCAGGGAACCATGTGATTATAAATTAGACTTGATCAAAACGGGCCAAAACTTGAAATTCAGCATGTTTGACCGACCCATGTCAAACTCTAATTATTCTTTACTTTTAAACTTTTTATTTGAAAATAAAAAATAATGAAAGAAAAGAGATGACTGCAATTCGCCATTTGCACATCACTGATTCGAGAATAAAACTATAGAATTTCGAAAGGAAACTGAAAATGTTTAGGATCGTTTTTTAAACTGGTCATGGTTCGAATCCTAGTAAGTGTCTTTTTAATGAATAAAAAAAAAGTAATTGTGAAGACCAAAATGTCATTTCTACTTTCACTCTGGATGCAGAAAATTTGAAATGGGGCTTCAAGTTTTCTCATTTGGCTTTTATTTATTGTGTAGACTAGCCCAACAAGATAATGTGACTAAGGGAGCGAGGGGCCTAATCAATTGATTAAGTAATCTATATTCCATTTCAATTGAATATAATGGTTTCAATGAATTTATTTAAGTTGCGCGTAGAATAATAGTTACAATATTATTATTTTGGTTTTTTTACTCTCTTTAAAGATTATCTTTACGATTTTTCACATTTTAGTTTAACAGAGAATGAATAAATTTTATAGAGAGAAGAAGTCTAGAGAGAGAAAATTTTCATAGAGAAAAACAATATCGTTTGTAACGTAAGTCATATAGTTTGTTATGTAAGTCCTATCCATTTTTCTGTTAGTAGTTTGTAATGTAAATTAGTTTGCTTTGTAATAAAAGTCATATTCATTTGTACTTAAAGTAGTCATAATTTATAATCACAAAAATTATGGTTTGTAATGTGAATTAGTTTGGCCTATAATGTAAATCTTAGGAATTTGTACTGTAAGTAGTTTGCCATGTAAATTAGTTTGGTTTGTCATAAAAAAAGAGAAAGAATAAGTAGTTTCATAGAGAGAGCATAATAAGTTTCGTAGAGAGAGAAGCAATGTAGATAAAGGAATATATAATTTGTAATGCAAGTATTCCAAGTTTGTCTTGTAAAGAGTGTGGTATTTTATACTGTTTGTATGGTTTGATATGATGTGAATTTGATCTGTATACTTGAAATATTAATTTGTATAATTTTATAATATGGTGCTTATATTTTGTATCATTGGGTTGTATACTTCGTAATATGATTTGTATAGTTTATACTATTAGTTTTTATATACTTGCATGATCTGGTTTGTATACAATCACTCTGACTTTTATACTTATGATGTGGTTGTATTGCTTATAATATAAACTTTTATAATTTTATGATATAACTGGCGTACTTTCACAATCTTGTTTGTATACTTAAATTATTGGTTTGTATTTTTTTTTCTTATGGTTTGTATATTTTGTAAATTAATTTGTAAAATTTTAGTATATGGTTTCATACTTTGTAGTATTGGTTTGTATACTTTGCATTATGGGTTTGTATATTTTTGGATATTTTTCTGATCTGGTTTATATACCTTGCAATATATGTTTGTATATACATGATATGATAGGTACACTTTCATTTTATGATTTTTATCATGATTAAAAAAAGCGTGCTTAAACTTACACTTGGTTCAACACCAAAATGTCTCGCCTAGGGGTTTCGCATCGAGCTAGAAATGTCGAACCGGTTGCGAAGTACGACGACAATTAATTGTCTTCTAGATATAATTAGGAGAAGCTAAGCGATCAATATAAATTAAAAAGGGAAAAATAAATATCATCCACATATACATTCCTTTCTCCGTTCTTTTCAATAACTCAAGAATTTTACGAGCTATTGAGCTCTAATTCTATTAACTTCTAAATTCTTTTTTTTTTTAATTGTAAAGAGTTAACTAGGTTATTGATCATTATAACTAAAGTACAAGTTAATGTAAATTTTTTTTGTCATTTTCATTTAATACTAACTACTATTTTTGTTTCCAACACTTACGCGACACCTAAGTGCACTAAGCGTTAGGCAAGACCCCAATGCCGACCTTACGACTAAAGCCTTCTTGAGCCTCAGTTTCTATACTATCTACTATTAATTTCTTGTCCGCTAGAAACCTCTGGCATTATATTCCTTAGAATGCTACCTTGTATACTTAGTTAAGAACTAGTTTATCCCAATAACACGAGCTGTTGGGAGAGTTTCAATAATGGATCTTATATCATTCACTAACACACTCCCTCAAACGGAAGCCATTCAACTCATAAGGGGAGTCGTTTGCACAAGTCTGAATACACGATACCATGTGCTTACAAACGGGGGTCACCGGCATTCGAACACAAGACCTTTCGGTCACACAAGACTCTAATACCATGTCAAGAACCAATTGATCCCAATAACTAGAATTGTTAGGAGAGATTCAATAATGAATCTAATACCATTCACTAACACACCCCCTCAACGAAAGTCATGCAACTCGTAAGTGTTGTTGTTTGCACAGATCTGAATACACGATACCATGTGCTTCACAAACGGGGTAACCGAGATTGTAACAGTGAGTTGCATAGCACACCTGAGTTACTTGCTGCCTGTCTCCCCAGCTTAAGTCTCGTTTGCAGGCTCGTCAAAAAACCGTGTCCAGAATCCTTGTCTCACGGATTTTAATAACATCACAAGCTCTCTTTTGTGAACATCATGTAAACAAACATACCCCTTTATGGTTAAGTTAGTATACAAGAAATCAGCTATTATGAATGGAACGCTCTCGAGCAAGATTCATGTATCACGGACGACTACAATAAACTAATCCTCAAGACCTCAACAGCTAGAATGGTAAATCGGATAATGTTATTTCAGCAAAGGAAGAAACAAAAAAGGGGGGAAAACAGGTACAGAAGGGTCAGACGACTGGTTCGCCGTTCTGTATTCTTTGTATAGATCAATAACAAACTCCTGGCCTGGTGCTATTTCTTGCGGGCAAGGTAAATGCCCGATATGATAGCCGCGCCAACACCTAGGGAGGTAATAACCTTCAATGCTGAAACTTTTGGTTTAGGGGTAGGAATTTCCAGAAGATCTTCCATCTGCAACCAGAGTGAAAGCAATATTCGTCTATCAGGTACACTGCTTTTACAAATCAATGTCGATGATTGAGCCAACTTTATCGACAAGCTACAATGGCTGTTAGAACTTAGAGAACGATGTGATGTGTGGCAGTATGGCAGATGCTTTTTGTTTTGATTTGATCCTAATAGTGAAGGCACTTCAGCTGACATTCGAGTAAGAAAGATGAACAGCTCACTCACCGATACGGGTTGCTGCCAATTCTTCTTAATTCCTTGAAGATGTCCTCTTCCCACCACGGCAACCACAGATGAGTGCTCACAGGCGTATCTATGTAACATGGATGCCATGTACCTATAGGCGAATTGAAAAGGATAAGAATCCATATAAAGCAGAAACCATCTAGCAAAACCAAGCAAATGAGCAGAGGATGGGGCAATGATCCAAGACTCATAATAATGGATGTCGAAGCTGAGAGTCAGCGAAATAAAGGAAAAGAAAGCAGTAATCAGCTTGTAAGTATTAGCTGGACGCTAGTGCATCACAATCAAGAAACTGATCCAGAAATGATGGCAAAACAAGTTCTTAGGGAGATCATTAAGACTTTCTCTTTTGGAATTTAAAGAGGAAACAAGAGGAAGAACAAACAAAATACTAACTGATCTCGCTCATGCACTAGGGTTTCCATAAGAGTGGGAAACTGCTTGCTCATTTCTTGAATCACAAGAGTCAACATGTCAACATCATCCATCTCCTTGAGCTGGAAAATCAACAAACAAATTCTCAAGCTTGAATCGACTTACTTCAAGCTAATATAACAGCCAAATTCAGGGCAGATGAGAGAGAAAACATACCATTTTCTTAAGGTCCTGTGGACTTGCTAAGAAGACAGCTTGAAAGAGTAATGAGTACACCAGTTTTGCCTTATGCCAAAGTGGCATTTTTAACCATGTTCTTCGCAATGTTACCTGTTCAAGTTGGCAGGTCAGATTGACAATGTTCAAGAAAACGGACTATACAGAATTCACACGGACTCTACTATCCAAAACAAAAGAAAAAAAATCACAAAAGGGACACACCCACAATGAGAATTTGAAAAGAAAACTCGTCACAATAGCCAGAACTAGGACACTTATTTCAGAAGGCAAGCAACTTGGATAAAAGCATCTTCTCCATGAGGTTCGTTACCGACATATCAAAGGAACCTCACCTGTACAGGACGATCGCCAAGTATCACAATAGCACCATACTTTTTGGCTTCTTCAAATGCCACACGGAACTCAGAGCCGGGAAATACCTCAAGCTGACTAGCGACCTGAGAATGTATCAATAATAATTGATGAAACTGACTGCTTAGAAATACATCTTGAATTCACAGGATGTCGTGTAGAAACTATAAGTAGCATGAGTATCTTGCCTTGGCAAGGAACCAGCTATATAGTATCCCAAACAAGTTTTGTTTCTTTTTCCACATCTCTATCATTTCTCCTGTAGTTGGCACCTGTTAAAACTTAAAGCATATAAGCAAATGGCGAGTAATAACACTAAAAATATATATATATATATATATATATTGAGAGTCAAGAAGATAGAATAACAAAATACAGTCAGGAACCAGCCACATCTAAAGTTACAGATACAGCAAACAAGACATGATTCAACATGCGCAAGAGGCTCAACAAAAGTTAATCTGGGGCCATGAAGCATAAGCAAGTAAGCAACTCCTCGGCCCCATAAAATATACTCAAACACGGGAAAGGGTTTCAATCAAGAACGGACGACATATAACGAGAAGAAGAAAGGGAAAGAAGATAAGCATATCAAAGGTTTAGTTGCAGCACCTTTAAATTCTGAGGTGCAAGCACACTCACACGACTAGAGCACAATTCCAGAAAGACTACCTGTAGAAAACACATGCCAACCCAATAGTATAATCTTCAGTTATGAAATAGATGGAAGAAAACGGCCAACCAGCCACCCAATTATAAATCAAGAGGTCGTCTCTAGAGGGAACCACCTCTGGTTTCAAGTAACGGATTACAGCTTCGACTTCTCTGCACGATTCCTGCAATGATAGAGTACATCATAAATGTCAATGTCCACTGTTTGTACAAGAAACATCAAAAGAGCAGTAAAACTGGCCCCTTCACTCCAACGCTTATCATGTTGAATTCAACCAAAACATTGACCTCAGCCTTCGCTTTATGCACATTCCAGTCACCATTCCAGTTTGGTAATGGAGAAAATGAGACTATATTCCTTAAAATCCATAAGAGGTATAGATAAAGATCAAGCCACAATCTCTCAATTCACGAAATTTATCCAAGAAATGATCCTTCTGTCGGCTACTAAACGCATTCCAATCTTACCATGAATGACAAGTTTCATACTCAAAATTGTAAACAGTTATTCAAGTCAAACAAGATCTCCCGCTGATCTAGTTTTTCATGCTCAACCAAACAGAATTCCGAAATTCAAGAAAGCAATCACCTCTGAAACATGAGCGGTGCCGACCAAGTAGACATCGCAGGACCCAGTTTCAGCTTTGGACTCACAAGTCAGCACCACAGCTCTCGAGAGCTCCTCGGGGGCTTCCGTCCTCTCATCAGGCTCAGCCTCACCGGCGGCAGTCCCCGCCGAGGCCACCACCGATTCTCCCTCGTCCCTCAGCTCATCAGCAACATTAACGATGCTGTCGCTCAGTGCCCCGCCGCTAGGATCGGGGTTATCGACGTGGACAAAGTCCTCCCCGGAACGTTGCGGCGCCTCCGATGATTCCGGCGGGGTCGGGTCCATCACTGCGGAAGGGTTCGGGGAATTGGCGGGTCGGGTGGCGAAGAACGCCAAGGCGGAGGCCTGAGGGAGAACTCGGCGCGGAAATCGGGCGGCGGGATGGGAAGTGAGTGAATTGTGGGCGCGGCGGGAGCTTAATTTACAAGTGACCACCGTGGCGGTGGCGGTGGCGGTGGTGGCGGAGAGGCGGGATGGGTGGAGCGAGTTAAAAGGGCTAACTTGGCGAGCTAAGCGATTCATAAACGGCGCGTCGCGGTGGTCTATCCTTCCTGGCTTTTATGCGATCGACGGCCGGAAGGGAGAGAAATGGCGCATCGGAAGTGACGTGGACGTTACATCCAGAATCGAAGCTTTCCTTTGTGGATGAGCAAAATAAGCAACTAAAAGAATAATAAATAAATAAATGTTTGGCTTCCTTGGATAGATTAATTGTCAATGTGGTATTTGTAAAGTTAAATAACTCATTTATTCGTTTCGATAGGTTAATTGTCAATGTAGTATTTGTAGAGTCAAATAACTCATTTATTGTTCATATGGTATTTCAGTGTTATTTCAGTGGTAATTGAAATAAAGTATCTCGTTTGGTTGAACCATGCAAATGTGGTATTTGACATGTGGTATTTGGTAAAATCAGAGTGATAAAACGAGTTATTTCGAAATAACACATGGGTATAAGTATTTCAAATAACTCGTTTTGAGTTATTTGTAAATAACTGACTGTCCAAATAACTCATTTTAGTAAAACGCTGCCAAACGAGTTATTTGTGTCCAAATAACTCATTGTGAGTTATTTGAACCAAAATAACTCATACAAATACTCCATCCAAACGACCCATGTACTATGTACTGTTTTCCGGCGAGAAAGCTTGCGTTGAATTGAGATTGATTACACCTTTGACTTCTTCGGATAACGATTACTAAGACACGGCTCACGCCTCTTCAAACAAAGTTTGAACGAGGGTGTTTGATTGATGGTTTCTAGGAATGAAAATCTAAATTAAGTTACTTATACTCATATGGAGGTTCGGTGAGAGCTCCAAACTAATAGCTATGTCTATGGCTACATGATAGAGACAAGATAAAGGATAAACTTGACATGTGTGTCAGAGTGTTGGTTTTGAGACCTCTGTCTCTGTCGAACCCTCCTCCTATTAATAGCCACGAGGAGGTAACTGTCGTAGAAAACCGCTTCTTGGATAACTGCTACAAAGAACCGCTCCCTCTTGTCCAGAATGTGGCTGACGTGTCCCTTGAACGTGGGATGAGTAACAGTTCCTCTCTCAACTGCCTAGGTACTTCTCTTGAACCCGTCGGGGGTTTTTAGTGTAGCTTGCCTCGCCTGGTCTTGCTTTGAATCTCGTGCCATGCTAGCATTTTGATGAGCATGTGGTGTCTCGCAAAGGGGCCATGGTCCTCTTGCCTCATGGCCATGGACTTCTTACTCATGTCCATGGCCCTCTTTGGACTTAGTCACTAGCTATATAGTGCTCCACCACCACAATTTTATCATTCGTGTCCATGGCCCCTCTCGTGAGGGGACATGGACCTCTTAATCATAGACATGGCCCCTCTCGTGAGGCAGCATGTCCTTCCCAGACTTGGTATATTTTGGGTCGGTCGGTCTTGATCATGAGGCGGCATGACCTCTTCGGGCCATGGACTTCTCTGTCATGTCTGTGGCCCTTCCCATGGCCCGACATGACCTTCTCATACTTAGTATTTTTCAACCACATACATGGTCTCTTGTCACGCATCAAGCTGCACGTCCCTCTAGATTTTAGACGGGCATGGCCCTTCTCCTTGAGGCGGCACGTCCCTCTCATACTTATAATATTTATGCACACTGGAGGAGCCATGATCACTTAGCTTAAGGGGGTGGAAACTCCTCATCTCGTGTCCATGATATTTTGTTGAGAGTTGAGACAACATGTGCTTCCATATTTTAGATGGACATGGCCTTCCTCGTTGAAGTGGAATGTGCCTCTAGATTCTAGACGGACATGGCCCTTCTCGTTGAAGCGCCACGTCCCTCTCCAGACTTGGTCGTGGGTTGGCATGTGCTTCCTCGATTTATAGACGGACATGGTCCGCTTTGTGAAGCGGCACGTCCTTCTCAAGACTTAGTGGCTTGTTGAAAGAGCACGAACCTAGGTGTGCGATTTAGGGATTAGATTGATATGGGAATTAGGGATTTGGGTGAGATAGAATTGGGATTAGGGTTGAGAGGATAAGAGGTCGAGTCACCGGGGTGGTGGCCGATGGCTAGAGAGAGGAGAAATGGGGTCGACGGATGAGAGGAGAGAGGAAGAGAGCTTAGGGAATAATTATGTTGTTATTGCTTAACCCCTCCCTTCTCCTAACACAGAATATATATAATCCGACTAATTCTCTATAACTACCCAAATACTTAACCTAACTGATTTAACCCCAATAGTCCACAAAATATCCAAATAATAATAAAACCCCCAAAGAATATCTATCTGACATTCCATCCCCCTTGAAACCCACCTTGAGGCCTTCTTTCTTCTCTTCCTTCTTTCCTTCTTCCTCGCCCGACTCCATTTCCTCACCCTCGTCTTCCTAATTGCCGACTAACAGCATCAGATGTCCTTTGGCGCACTGAAGTCCCACCGTATACCTCTCATCGCAGTTGAAACAACGACCATCCCTGCGCTTCTGGTCCATCTCCGCCTGTGTCAACCTGACGAACCCCTTCGGTGGCAACCTTGATGGAAACCTGCCTCCTGGAGAAGCTCCTGTAGCTACCGGGCTTGCATTTCCCGGTGGCGGTGTGGTCCCTGCGGCGCCCATTCTCGCGCCTACACTGGCCTTCTGGATGCGCCCGGTCGATCTCCAACTAGCCAACTCCTCCTCCTTGCGACCTGCAATTCTAAAAGCAACTCGAAGGGAATCAGGTTCAAAGACCTTAACGGTCGTTGCCAGCTCGGGACGCAGCCCTGTCATGCACAAGCCCACTAGAGTTTCTTCTGCATTTCCTTCCCATCTTGAGGAACTCTGCGCGATACTCGATCACTGATCCCGTCTGTCTGAGCTTGGCTAGCTGCTCTGGAGCCCACCCCTCCGCCTTGCCAAACTGATAACTCAGCTCGTCCTGGAATCTTGCCCAAGAGATGTCCTCCCCGACCGCAGCATATGCTCTCTCGGTCCACTCCCACCACTGGAGGGCATCCCCTTCCAGATAGAAGGACGCCAGATGCGCCTTTCGCTCCTCCCTGATCGGATGATTCTTGAACCACCTCTCTGCTGCATAAAGCCATAGCCCCACATCTCCCATCCCATCGAACTTGGGAAACTCTATAACCAGCGGTTTAGCTCTAAACACCAATGCATCCTCGCAATCATATAGAGGGTTACTGTACCCACACCTGCCTGTATTTGATGGAGGTTGTCGATTCATCGTGCCATTTTGGTGGTAGCTTCCCTCGATTCGCTGTTGATGAGAGTAGGGTCAGTCACCCGCCATCTCCTAGTTGTCCCCGCCGTACTCTGGTTTAGTCCCCGATCCTTTCCCAACTTCTTGACAGCCTCGACCTCTCCCTCCACCTGCTCGTGGGTTACCCCACGAGGGATACCCATACTCCGGGCCTCTTCCGAAGCCCCTGCCCGGCGCACCCTAGCTGTTGTCCGCCGGTTGGTGACCCGACCCGGTACGGTCCGGCCCGACTTGGGGTCCGACACCCAACCCAGTCTACCCCCATCTAGTCCTTGGTCCACCCACCCTTCCTGGCCCGCAAAGCTCAACTCGTCCTCTTCCCCTGTCCCAATCGGCCATGGTTCATCTCACTCAGGCCCAGGCGGCCATCTTTTTCTTTCCCTGGGCCTTGTCACGTTCATGGGCCGTTGGTATCGGCAGTAAGCTTGGCCCGCTGAACACCGGCTCTGGCGCTAGGGGTGAACAAACCCACCCGCAAACCGATCCACCCGTCCAACCCGACCCAACCCATCCATATTTATCGCTAAACCTAAGATTGTGGGTTGGGTGAGGGTTTTCTTTTGTACAAGCCGCCTCTTTTGGGTTGGGTTTGGATATTGGATTACACAACCCGTAGAACCCGACCCAATCCGTGTTCCAACTATTGGTATAAGTTCGTATACAAAAATAATTTAAGTCGTATATAGCCATACTTATGAGAAAATTAATATATTTTGCCATATTTTTCTCTCATGGTCTTCCTAATCTAATGCATTTTTCGGCTTAAAGTTTAGACATAGATTTAAGGGTTAATATTTTCATATGGCCTGAACTTTGACCAAAATAAACATCTTGGCCAATCTTTTCGATCTATAACATCCTGGCCCGAACTATACACCAAAATAAACAATTTGGCCAGATCTGACTTTTGACCGTTAACTTGGACGGTCAAATGCGTTGACCGTTAGTCAACGCGCCATGTCACTGCCAAGTCAGCATAAAATATTTAAAATAATTCACAATTTCCACACATTCCCTAATTTTAAATTATTATAAATTAAAAAAATCATCTAATACCTTAGTTAAACCAAAAATAAAAAATGAAAAAATTAAATATCTATCAGATCTTCTGACTTGGCAGTGACGTGGCAGTGACGTGGCGTGTTGACCGTTAGTCAACGCATTTGACCGTCCAAGTTAACGGTCAAACATCGAGTTTGGCCAAATTGTTTATTTTGGTGTATAGTTCGGGCCAGGATGTTATAGATCGAAAAGATAGGCCAGGACGTTTATTTTGGTCAAAGTTCAAGTCATACGAAAATATTAACCCTAGATTTAATATAGCTATGATTCACGTAATCTTTTTTGTTATGTACAATTTTAATAGAATAACATATTATGGATGCGTTTGTTTATAACATTTTTAGCCTATTTAAACTAAATATCATGAAAAAACTAGACATATGTGAAGTAAATCACATTTTATTAAAATTCAAAGAACATTTGTGAATTTTGATGCCTTTCACCTCGGTTTATTCGTTTGAAATTTTAATTAGTTATAAATATATTTTTATGGTGTAGAATAATTACATATTTTGTGTTGGGTTGGTTTTTTACTTAAAAATATGGTCAACCCGACCCAACCCAATTAGAAACAAACCGTAGGGTTTTAACTTTTTTTGGGTGGGTTTGGGTTTAATATTTTTCAAACCGTAGTGCATGGGTCAGGTGATTAAAATGGCTAAACCCGGACCACCCGACCCATGTACACCCCTATCTGGCGCGCTTATTGCGCCCTGGTCATCCTCCTCGATGATGCGGCCGCGCGGCCCGGTGGAGCTCCCCGGCGCGCCTCCCTTCTCGGCCGAGTTTGCCGCGACCAGCCCTGCGGCGGTCGCCATCGCCGCCCTTGCACCATCGTCGCCGCTCGGCGGCTTCTCCCTGGCCGCCACCATCTTCGCCGCCCCTGCTC